TCCTAAATTTTCTTTTCTCATTGGATTTTAGTGACATTAAGCTGTTACTTTACAAAATAGCATGAGAAAAAAAATTAAAAGAGAACAAAGCTTCTTTTCATGTGACATTTTACCCTTAGGTTATCAGTATAAACAGCTATGAAACCTCATAAACAGCTGTTGTGACTGAATTACCTCGTAACTCTGCCGCTCTGGGCCTTATTACTGAAATATGTCATTTTGTCACTACAACCATATAAAAGAAATAAATAATTTGCTGTTCTTTTGAACTTTCTATTCATCAAAGAATTGTACCAAAAATGTATCACAGCTTCCACAAAAGCAACACAACTGTTTTCAATATTGATAATAATAAGAAATCTTTCCTGAGTGGCAAATCAGCGTATTAGAATGATTTCTGAAGGGTCATGTGACACTGAAGCCTGGAGTAATGATGCTGAAAATCCAGCTTTGCATCACAGGGATAAATTACCAACCCCAATCAGGCCCAGAGGCAACAGATTCTCTGGTGTAAGAAGTAAAGACATGCCGAGGTCCTCGTGAACAGGTGTGTGTGTGTGTGTGTGTGTCAGAGAGCGTGATCAGGTAAACAGACGGCCTCACACAAGAGAAAACGAAGGCAAAATTTAAACGTGTGCAGGTTTGCGAGTGAGTGTCGTGTTCTGCGTGTGTTTCTGCTCCTCACTGAGATCAGACACAATAAATTATCCATTCACACATGTTCATATGAGGAACAGCATTCTTCTGGCTTTTTCAATAAAAATGACAACGTTTAGTGTAGTCTAGACACTCAGTAACAAACATTTCTGACCTTTTAAGAATTATTTTTGCTCTTGGCATTTTACATTAGTCAGAAAATGCCATTTTTAATGTGTCTTCAGGTTCCGTTTTAGTATGAATATATAGCGTTTGGGCTGCATTGCAAAGAAAATACAGCTTAAATATTATTTGTCTAATATAAGGCTGTATGATTTGGTTAAAAAAATTACCTTGATTTTTGACAAGTATTATGATATGATATCTATATGTATGTGCTAAGCAATTACATATTTTATAAGACGGAATGGCATATTTTTGTTGGCCAAAACACATTTTTTTCACATTTTATTCTACAACATAAGTCATGTGACCATAGTGTAATTTGTTTAGCTTTTTGCTTCTGGCTATTGTTTTTAGGCCTCAGAATTCTTAAAGTTGTGTTCATTTATGAAGATTATGAAGAATGTGAAAAGATCATACACCTTTTCTGTTCACAGAGCTTATTTTCTGCAAAACCCCAAAAACAATAGAATAATCCAATTGAGTCGTTGTCAAGGGAACCAGGGTGGTGCTAGATTCCAGGTTGGCCTACAAAAATACGTCATGACTGCAGCGCTCTATTAAACCTGCAAGATTACAGACAGAAGTGGAGCCCCTTCAGTTTGAAGCATGCTCAAATTTTTTCATAAAATCACAGTGTGTGATGACCTATTCTTTTTAGATACTTCTACTTAAGTAAGCATCAGAAATCAAAAAACATTCAGACATTCATATGAACTCTCCAGCTAACTTAAATGCTGATTGAGGATTCACTATAAGTAAACCCATCGAGATCCTGCATTTTACAACATTTCAGCGCTACCCAGAATCCTGCAGCTTCTCCAAAACTCTCCAATTGCAACAGAGTCACGAGAATTGCGGTATTGACTGTGGATTGTGGATGTTTAGGTGCCAGCAGCCGTCGGCCCCCATCAGCCCCCCTTCTACACCACAATTAACCAGCCATGACCAGAGAGCTGCTCACACACAACAGCACCTGTACACATGCTGCTGGCAGCCTGAACGTCCACACACACACACATATTGAATAACATATTGAAATATTGGCATGTTTTCCAAAGTGCATATAGTGACAAAGCTAGTCTAGTGGAGAATAAGACCAGCAACTACAATTAGTCTGTGTCGCATGTTTAAAGATTTATGTGGAATAATATTAAACTCAGATACAATTAACTGAACATTGGTGTGCATTTTAAATAATTGCATTACTTTTTGGGTGCAGAGTGACACTATCCACTAAGAAAAACGGGCTATTTATTACAAAATATTCAACGTGTTTCTTCACGTGTCGTCAATTTATCGGTTTTTACTGTCCTTAATATAACTTTCCATACTGCACTCTCAGAAAAAAAGGTACAAAAGCTGTCACTGGTACCATTTCAAAAGCTACTAAGTACATTTAGGTACTAAAATGTGCACTTTAGGTACTAATATGTATACTTAAGGCATTAAAATGCACCTTTAGGGGTAAATAAGGTACAAAAATTTACCTTTTGAAAGGGTACTGTCCCTTTTTTCTGACAGTGTGGGAGGTTTCATAATATCCTTTTAAATAACTAAAATCTGTTCCTTGATGGCATCATCATTCAGGAAGTGGCATCTTACTGAGGGACATCAACAGCACAAACATCAGTGAGTATTAGCAATTTGATTAATTTTGTGCTTTTTTTGTGGTGTTTGTTGGTATTTGTCAATCTAAAATGTTCTATATTGTTACATAAATCAGTGTGGTAGTATAAAAATGTTTAAGCTCATAAAAGAAAAGACTGTTGCTCCCTCACTGATCGATTTTTCATATTTATTTATGAATCCCTTTACCTCTGAAGACATTTCCAAAGGGAGGTGTTGTCTGATTCCAAGAAAAATATACCAACGTAACACACACACACACACACTCACACACAAACATTCTCACACCTAACGGTTGCCTATTTCACTACTTAATCTTAATTAAAGTATGTAGATAATCCTATCAGTCAAAGTCTGGCCAGGGTTACTCCACATTCTGTTATTTGGGACTCAGACAAAGCATATTTCGCATGTACTTACACTAACAAAAAAGTACCATGGTATTTCTACTGTATTTTTAGAAGTGCAGGATATTCTAAAAATACCATAAAAATACCATGGCACTTTCTTGTTAGTAAATACCATTATACTATAAATACCATAGCATTTATACCATGCATTATAATCATTCAGAATCATGGTAGATATTTAAATGCCACAGTATTACTCCGTCTGATAACACGGCACCACCACATTACATTAGGTCTGAGCAATAGAATAATAATAGAATAGTTCTGCTCTGAAATAAACTAATTTGATTTTTTTTATTATTGGAAATTCACAGATGCTAGTGGTGCCAAAATCTTTAAAATCATGATATTAATATTCTTAATGTTCATTACTTATACACTACTGTTCAAAAACGTGAGATCATCATGATTTTTAATGTTTTAGTGTTTTAAAACTCTCATGCGCACCAAGGCTACATTTATTGTGAAATATGATTACGACTTAAAATGTTCTATTTGAATATTTTTTCAATTGTAATTTATTCCTGTGATGGAAAAGCTTTTTTTTTTTTTTACACTACTTAATCTTAATTAAAGTATGTAGATAATCCTATCAGTCAAAGTCTGGCCAGGGTTACTCCACATTCTGTTATTTGGGACTCAGACAAAGCATATTTCGCATGTACTTACACTAACAAAAAAGTACCATGGTATTTCTACTGTATTTTTAGAAGTGCAGGATATTCTAAAAATACCATAAAAATACCATGGCACTTTCTTGTTAGTAAATACCATTATACTATAAATACCATAGCATTTATACCATGCATTATAATCATTCAGAATCATGGTAGATATTTAAATGCCACAGTATTACTCCGTCTGATAACACGGCACCACCACATTACATTAGGTCTGAGCAATAGAATAATAATAGAATAGTTCTGCTCTGAAATAAACTAATTTGATTTTTTTTATTATTGGAAATTCACAGATGCTAGTGGTGCCAAAATCTTTAAAATCATGATATTAATATTCTTAATGTTCATTACTTATACACTACTGTTCAAAAACGTGAGATCATCATGATTTTTAATGTTTTAGTGTTTTAAAACTCTCATGCGCACCAAGGCTACATTTATTGTGAAATATGATTACGACTTAAAATGTTCTATTTGAATATTTTTTAAATTGTAATTTATTCCTGTGATGGAAAAGCTATTTTTTTTTAATCATCCATCATTCTAATATACTGATTTGCTACTCAAGAAACATTTCTTAATATTATCAATGTTGAAAACATTTGTGCTGCTTAACTTTTGTGGAAACTGATACATTTTTTGCAGGATCCTGAAAGAACAGAAAGTTTAAAATAACTGAATTTATTTGAAACAACATTTTTGTGTTACATTATAAATATCGTTACTGTCGCTTATGACTAAAATAAGATTGGAAAAAAATCTTGCTGACACCAAACTTTTGAACAGTAGTGTATTTTTTTTATAAAATATTAATCAATATGTAAGTATCAAACATATCACCTAGTCCACATACAGAGTTGGAATACTGCAGCTCCTATTTATTTAAATCGAATCAACGACTTCATTCATGCTGGAAATGATAGTCACTCCCTCGTTTCCTTTTTGCTGTTTTTTTATCTTTGCCCTCCACTCCTTTTTCCTCTGTTCTTCATCACGGCCACTCCCCCACACTCATCCCTCCTTGTCATCCTCGTAGGCTCGTGCTATCTATTGTAATCTATCTTTTCTACCTCCCCTTTCCTCAGTGAGATGATCTGTTAACATCTGTCGTCTAGGCAGACCGTAGGGTCGTGGGAAACCAGGAGATGGTTTTAGACTCTAGAAGTCACACACATAACTGAGCTCACATGCAAAAACATAACGATATACTGTAGATGCACAAACAGACATCCTTGAACTTTATATTGTTATCATTTTTTTAATGTTTACTTTGTGCAAGCAAATAAACACAAAAATATGCAAAAATAAATACGTAGTGCACCTATTAAAAGACATGTATTCCATTAAATTTTTGTTATTTATTTCCTTCCTCTTTGATAAAAAGGTGTTGTTTTTAATTTTTTCAGCCTAGTTTAGTGTAAATAGTCCTCTGGCTAGTTTTAAGTCATTTCATGTTTTTGTATCAGCTCATAAGCGGACAGTTAAGCTCACCCTGCAGGTGTCTACTCCTGTAATGGTCCTTTGGTTTGTTTGGATGGGCTCTGGCATTTCCGTCACATTTTGGTTGTTCGAATCTAGAGCAAGAGAGAGGGAAAAAAAACAGAAGGAATGAGAGTGAAAACAAAGCATTATTGTTTGCACTGTGATGAGTCCAACAGCTAAAATATCCACCAACGCCAATAATTTTTTTTAGATTTTGTAAACAGATAGACCAAAATAACATAATAGTACTGAATAAGTAAAGAGCCATTGAGTGATGGATAGTTACATAAGGATAATTAATTTTTTATTTACCATTTCCTAATGTCGAAATGGAAGTCAATATGATATTTTCTTCACCATTGTGATGTATATCGCAAAATAATAATATGTAAGATATGTATATATGTATAAACCCCCCCCCCCCAAAAAAAAACTATGAAGTGTAAGACCAGAGAAACATTCATGGGCCCATTAGGAGAGTAAATGTGCTCCAATCATTGTCAGGTGACCTGCCCAAATAATAGAGAAAGAGAAAGAGAGAGAGAGAGAAGGGTGATGGGAAGGTAGCACTTCCATGCGTGCTCTAATGCGCTGTCTGGTACACTGCCTGAGGCTTTGTTAACTCAATACCACATTTGGTGATAGTCAGAAACCCACAGCATCGCTCTAACACTCCTACAGCTCATTAAAAGTGCCCCTGAATACAGAGAGTGTCACTGACCCCTGGCAAACACATTCACAATGTTTTGTCATTTTGCCAGGTTTCTTGATCAGATTTGGGCTGCTTGAACAGCCCACCTGTTAGAATTTATTCAGCATGATTTGCTGGTATATTTAGCTTTTGTCAACGAATGCAGAGTAGAAAGGTGCTCTCTAAATGTTAAAAGAGACTGAATGAGATTGGCCCCTGAGAGAGTCCAAAACTCAGTTTTGTACCCCATAGTAAGTCGAATAATGAGACCTGCCCCTGGTGTATATTAGATGTACTGTAAGAGAACAGGTCGACTAGTACTTACCATTTTAAAAGCCAAGTGGTGGGTTTTTCCTTTCAATAGAGACAAACTGCTTAAAGGGATAGTTCACCCAAAAACGAACATTTGATGTTTATCTGCTTAGCCCCAGGACATCCAAGATGTAGGTGACTTTGTTTCTTCAGTAGAACACATTTGATGATTTTTAACTTTAACCGTTGCAGTCTATCAGTCGTATAATGCATGCAATGGTAACAAAATCTAGTACGATTATACAACTGATAGACTGCAACAGTTGGAGTTAAAAATCATCAAATGTGTTCTACTGAAGAAACAAAGTCACCTACATCTTGGATGCCCTGGGGGTAAACAGATAAACATCAAATGTTCGTTTTTGGATGAACTATCCCTTTAAGTTGTATTTTGGCAACTAAATAAGGACGGGTTTGTTTCCTCGAGGCGCCAGAGGTATTTTAAAGTGTTTAAAATAACATTTTGTTAAAACAGATGTTAAAGTAATAGTACACTCAAAAATAAAAATACAATGCTGAAAATGTACTCCCCTTCAGGCCATCCAAGATGCATTAAGCGGAACCGACTTAGTGAAATGTAGCATTACATCACTTGTTCATCAATGGATCCTCTGCAGTGAACGGGTGCCGTCAGAATGAGAGCAGCTGATAAAAAGCATCACAATAATCCACACAACTTCAGTCAATCACTTATAGTCTTGTGAAGCAAAAAGCTGCATGTTTGTAATGTTTCTAACTTCGAACCTTTACTTCCAGCTAAAATAAGAGTCCTCCATCCATAATATTGCTTTCTCCAGTGAAAAAGTCGTCTTGTCTTAATGAGGAGAGAAGTATGTACAGACCAAGCACCGTTTACATGTGAAAACAAGGTATTTTTAAAGTTAAAATGCCTTAATGATAAATTTGTCTCTTACAAACACACAGTTATTTGCTTCACAAGATGTTAACTGATGGACTGGGGGATCACTTGTGAATCATTGTGATGTTTTTATCAGCTGTTTGGACTCTCATTCTGACGGCACCCATTCACTGCAGAGGATCCATTGGTGGGCATTTCTCCAATTCAGTTCCAATGAAGAAACAAAATCATCTACATCTTAGATGGCCTGAGGGTGAGTAAATTTTCAGTTTTCGGTGAATTATTCCTTTAAAAGTCATGCTGAAATAACATCCTAGTAGTTGTCCTGGAGAATTTTTCACCCGTTTTTTTTATGTACTTTGCTATAATGAGTGCATTACCTTGTGGATGTGCCAGGTATGGGCCGTCCAGTATCCACCTGGACACACCAGCAGTACCCGGTGGAGGGATGGCACTGAACAGGTTTGTAGAGACCACCGTGAGCACAATCCGGCACAAAAACCGCTTCATTTTTATGTTGTCTTGCTTCTTCCTGTGCTGACAGCTGCTCCTGATCACACGAGGTCGCTGAGGTAAAGCGAGGCAGAGGAAAGGAGTGAAATAATGCAGGGGACTCAATATGAGTGAGTAAGTGTCAGTGTTCTCTGTGGTGAAAAGAAGACAAGCATCTGTGTTTCCATACAATGAAAGGAGACTGCCCAGGAGCTGTCAAGTTCCCAAAAAATACCTTCTCCTTGAAATTTCCATAAATGTAGTACAAACAGCTCACAATGCAGGAATAGAATGTAACAGGCTTTGTCTAAAATAAAAAGTCAATGTTTGACTAATATCTTGTCTACTACGGTCTTCAACTCTATGATTTTGGAAGGATGCATCCTGCATATGATATCCCATGATCCTGTGTGTGTGATACAGTTGGATAAAAGAACATACAAGTAAATGATGTCCGATGTTGAAAGTATTTATAATAAATTTAAATGTAATTACATTAAAATGTATTATTATATCTTATTTTTATTATTATTATTATTACTTATTTTGTGATAATAAATCAATCTTTAATACATTTAAAATAATTGCAATTTTATACATTTAAATGTATTATTCAATTTTAATCCAATTAATGACATTTAATTGGCAGTTGAACAAATTAATGTACAAATGTCATTTTAAAAAAACCTTATGAATCTTTATACTGATAGATAAGCATTGTATTTATTAAATATGATATCTCATGATCCTGTGATCGTGATTCATCTGCTTAAAGGAATGTAAATTCCGTCTGATGTGAAAAGAATCAATACTACATTTAAATTAGTTAAATTCATTTAAAATACATTTAATGTAATTACAATTTAACTAGATTAATTAAATTGAATTGGCAGTTGAACAAATCAATTAAATGCACAAATGTAATTTTTTTTGTACTTTTTTCAAATTACATTCCATTTATGCTGTGAATTAAGCACTGTATTAACTAAATATATATTATCCTGTGTGTGAGATTTGGCTGGTTAAAACAATGTAAATGCTGTCTGATGTTGAAAGAATTAATAATAAATTCAAATGAATTAAATTTATTTAAACCAATTTTAATTCAATTAATTAAATGTAATTGCCATTTGAACAAATTAATTAAATGTATTTTTTTTCCAACTTATGTTTCCTTATTGAGAAATAAGCGTTCAAATATTCATGGTTATCCCTAAAGCTCTTTTGAATTTGTTTTAGGTCATTGGACATATGTTATAGTGCCTTCACACAAGAACGTTGCCTGTGAAGTCAATGACTGACTGGACGGTGAGGCCTTGGACACAACCGTGAAGAGATGGATGGACAGCATGTTGGACGGGGTAAGAGAGTGAAAGTGAGAGCTTGTGCTTTATCAGGAGCTTGTGGGAATGTTTATGACATTAAGAAGTTCATGACTGCACAGGGCTCCTGCTGCTCGACCAGAATAAATATTTACACATTGTCTCCAGGTGCCTGCATTTGCAGTGTCTTTGAATAAAGATAGTGACCTTGGGCGGAGTATAGCTGCATAAAACACATTGTTTTGGGAAAACAGTGGCATCTTAGCACTTCCTTTCAATCCTGCATGAGACACAACGGCAGCCCAAAAAAACATGAATAATTCATATGGAGCACAACCTTTGAGCCATGAGATTTCTCTGCATCAGGAACCAATCATCTCATGTGCCACAACAGAGCTCTCCAGCAACGCTTTGAGCCGCCTGATCTAATGCAAGAAAGATTATGTTAAAAAGAACTGTGCGTGTGTGTGTGTAAAAGAGAGAGAGATGTGGTTTCTAATGTATTCTGTGGCAGCAAAGGCAGAGGGTGACCCAACTCCTGGGTAAGGCTAAAATAAGTTTAATGTTAGTGTGATGTCAGTGTTAGTGGATGTCATGTCATAAAATATTTTTAATACGACTACATTTTTAGTTAAAGTGTTTACAGTTTAATCAAACATATTGTAAGTTACTAATTATAACGCTTACATTTCAGTTATTCAAACAGCGAATAAATTATATACAATAAATTAATAATAATAAATTATATAAAGCAGGCAAAGAACATTGAAGAACATGACCACTGACTTCAGTCTAGCGCTAGTTTATGCACTCTCCAAAAACTCCTGTTATAATCACTGAAGCTGTCTACACTGCGAAATAAATCTCTTACATCACATGTTCGTCTGCACTTTCAGTCAGCGAGTGTGCGCACTGAACAAAAATATGGTGCAATATGAGCAGATCTAAATTTAATGCAGTTGACACTTATCATTTTCACTTTATTCGCGACAGCCGTAATAGATTTAGTTTAATTGTGCAGGAGATTTTTGTCCAGTTTGGTGGCTTGGTGGACAGGGGAAGGTAGGTTATAGAGTTTTCAGTGTTTTGCTATGTGGTTCCTGAGGTTATTAGGGTGTTGCTATGCAGTTTTTGTTTTGAGTTATTTTAAAGCGTCGCTAGGGTGTTGTGGGTGTTGCTACGTGGCTGCTATAGCACTGCACTAAATACCACTCAGAACAGCTTTGCACTATTTGGGTTTTATTTTAATTGTGCAGCCCTACTGGTAACCATCAAAAACACCTAGCAACCATCTTAGCAAATGTGCAACGACACGCTTAAAACTCAAAACACCTTACACAGAAAAAGAGAAAGAGGATAACTATAAAAGGATGTGGGAGAGAGAATACCTTAGCAAACACGTGTTGTCAGGTCTTTGGCTTCATGTGAGCATTGTTTTAGAAAATGTTGCCATGGGTTTTCCTCATCTTTTTTAACCTAGAGACATCTTTTCTTTGTCTCTGTCTTTCGTTCAGTTCTATTCTGAGCTTCTCTGAATAGTGATAATCTCCATTTAGACCTCAACAGATCAGCCGTAATCAAAACCATCAGCATTCACTGACGTTTTACTGAATGTTAATCAAGATAACTTTACAATCGAGCTATTCACGCACACATAGACACACACACACACAAATGAGTCTATTAGGAAACACACAAATTATGTAATAATGTCATCAGAATTAGATCTGTTACTGAGTTCATGTCGTCGTTTTTTCCCAGTTGGGTTTTAATGACATCTTTGTTGATTCCTTTATTAGATCAACATCTCAAGCAATGGCTGAATGCCACAGTGAGTTGGATCTTCATGTGTGTGTGTGTGTGTGTGTGTGTGTGTGTCTGTGTGTTTGAGCAGCTATAGCAACGATTTCATAATACTTACAGAAATGTATCTATCTTTGTCTCTTTTGCTTTCTCTTTCTATTCCCATACATATA